CACCAACAACAACAAAACCAAAAATAACAGGAATTAACAGTCACTAGTCATTAACATCTCTTAATATCAATGGACTCAATTCACCTATAAAAAGACACTGGCCAACAGAATGAGTACAAAAACAGAATCCATCCTTCTGCTGCATACAAGACACACACCTCAACCTCAAAGACAGATATTACCTCAGAGTAAAGGGTTGGGAAAGATTTTTCCAATCAAATGGACTTAAGAAACAAGCTGGTGCAGCTATCTTAATATCTAACAAAACAGACTCCAAACAAAAATTAATCAAAAGAGATGGAGAAAGGCATTTTATATTCATCACAGGAAAAATTCATCAAGATGATCTCAATTTTGAACATCTATGTTCCAAACGCAAGGGCACCTACATTTGTAAAAGAAACAATACTAAAGCTTAAATCACACATCAAACCCCACATACTAATAATGGATGGTTTCAACACCCTACTGTCAGCAAAGGACACATCTTCCAGACAGAATCTTAACAGAGAAATAAGGAAACAAAGAGATGTTATGACTCAAATGGATTTAACAGATATCTATAGAACATTTCACCCAAAAACAAAAGAATACACTTTCTTCTCAGTACCTCATGGAACATTCTATAAATTTTACCACAAAGCAAACATCAACAGATTAAAAAAAAAAAGGAATAACCCTCTGTATCAGATCACCATGGCATAAAGTTAGAATTTGACAACAACACAAATTGCAGAAAACCTACTCATGAAAACCGAACAACACTAAACTGAACTAAACTGAATTACCATTGGGTCAAGGAAGAAATAAGAAAGAAATGAAAGGCTTCCTAGAGATCAATGAAAATGAATGCACAACATACCCAAACTTATAAGACACAATGAAAGCAGTGCTAAGAGGAAAATTCATAGCACTAAATGCCCACATAAATAAGTGGAGAAATCTCACACTAGTAGGTTAATCTCACACTAGTAACTAAATTTCACTTGAAACCTCTAGAACAAAAGGAAGCAAACTCACCCAGGAGGAGTAGATGCCAAGAAATAATCAAATTGAGAGCTGAAATCAATAAAATAGAAACAAAGAGAACAATACAATAAATCAAGGAAACAAAGAGTTGGTTCTTCAAGAAAATCAACAAGATAGACAAGTCCTTATCCAAACTAATCAAAAGACAGAGAGCAAGAATATCCAAATTAACAAATCAGACATGAAAAGAGGAACATAACAACAGACACTAAGGAAATCCAGAGAAACATTAGGTCATACTTCGAAAATCTGTACTCCACAAAATTGGAAAATCGGAAAATCTAAAAAAAATGGACAGTTTTCTCAATAGATATCACTTAAGTTAAATCAAGATCAGAGAAATAATTTAAATAGACCTATAAGGCCCAAGAAAATAGAAGCAGTCATAAAAGTCTCCCAACCAAAATAGCCCAGGGCCAGATGGCTTCAGTACAGAATTCTACCAGACCTTCAAAGAAGAGCTAACAACAATACCCCTCAAATTATCCAACAATATAGAAACAGAAAGTAATTGCCAAATTCATTTTTACAAGGCTACAATCACCATGATACTCAAACCACACAAAGACTCAACAAAAGAAAGAAGAGAATTAAAGAACAATTTCCATCATGAACATAAGTGCAAAAATACTCAATAAATTAACTGCAAACCTAATCCAAGAACATGGCAAAAAGATCAGCCACCATGATCAGGTGGGCTTCATCCCAGAGATGCAGGAATGGTTCAACATATAAATATTGTCCTATACTCCACCATATAAACAAAGTAAAAGAAAAAAACACATGATCATCTCATTAGATGCTGAAAAAGCCTTTGACAAAATCCAATACCCCTTCATGATAAAAGTCTTGGTGAGATCAGGGATATTTAGGGACATACCTAAACATAATCAAAGCAATATATAGCAAGCCGATAGCCAACATCAAATTAAATGGAGAGAAACTCAAAGTGATTCCACAAAAATCAGGACTTTAAGTTCAGGCTACAGCAATAAGAAAACTATTGGAGATCAAGGGGATAGAAATAGGAAATACATTTTTTATTAGTTGTTTTGTTATTCTAGATCTCCTGGACTCTGGCCCTTACATAACATACTGTAGAATGATTTAGCCCAGGCTAAAACAAGAGTAGGATTTATAAGAAATATATGACCCAAATTTCAAGGAGATCAGTTCATAAATTATACCAGCAGGTAAATTTTTCCCCTTTGCCACTTAAATTATCACTTTTTAAAATTATTTTTAATGTGACTAATATGCCATTGCAGATGGTTTCATGACCTCAAAATCGTGTAACGAGATTTTCCTAAAATAATGTTAATTAATTTTCACTACCTATACTATACTTTCTTATCTCACATCCCTTATTTTAATCAGCCTCTATAAAAGTTTGTCTTTATTATTCATCTTGGTCAAGTCTATGTTGGTTTAGTACATTTAAAGTTCATCCCTCTAATGAGTGACCTTGTGTGTATCTTAATTTTCTGTTTGTCTTGCAAATACATGCTATCTATCCTAGTTATGTTTCTCATTACTGTGACAAAATACTTTATTAAAGAACCTTAAAAAGTATTTGTTTATTTCCACTCACAATTTGATGGTTAAGTCCATAAGGGAGTGGAAGCCAGGCAGCAGAGGCTGGAAGCAGCCGGTCACATTGAGCCCATGTTAAGGAAATGAAGAGAAATGGAGTGAGTCTCACTTCACTTTTTCTTTATATTCACTCCAGAATCCAGTCCATGGGATTGTGCTTCAAAGATTTAAAGTTAGTCTTCCAGGTAGCAAGAACGTTTAAGATACAAAAGCAAATAATAACTAATGCTGGAATGGATGTAAGAAAGAGGAACACTTGATTACTGCTGGTGAGCTTGCAAAAAAAGAAGTGCATCTAGTGTGAAAACCAATATGAAGGTTCCTCTAAAATGTTGAAGTAGCTCTATGACATGGTGTTGGGTTATTCCTAAACAACTTGATAGTCTATAGAGATGCCAACTCATTCATGTCCCTTGCCATTCTAGTCACTGTATCTAGGAAAAGGAGGCAGGCTATATGACCATAAACTGAAAAAATGAATGATAAAAATGTGATATATTTATGAAATACAATGTTATTAAACTCCTAAGAAAGGAAATTATGAAATTCACAGGTAAATGGAAAGAGATGGAAACAATCCCCTGACTAAGAAAAACCATACCAAGAAAAACAAACTTTGCATGTTTTCTATTATTTGTGGGTGCCAGAATCAGCAGACATGTGCCTTCTGTTAGGAAAACCAATAGAAGTTAGCAGATTAGTAAAGGGCTATGAAGGGGAGGATTTCAAGGAAGAGGAGACAGATCACAGTGGTATAAAGGATTAAAGGGTAATACTGCTACAGGAATGGTTAGATGGGGAAAGGAATGAGAGGGAAAGGTATAGATGAGGGAACATGGAACTATAAGTTAACATTAAAGACCTTTTTCAAAGGTCATGTGGAAATCTACCACTCTAGAAGCTTCCTAAAATACAAACATATAAAACAAAATTGAATGAAGTTACCCTGGAATGAGGCAACAATGCCCTATGAGACATTACAGAAACTAAAAATGTCCAATGTCAGGAGTAGGTTACCACTTTTGCAGTTATTGGCAAGTGGAACCTTCGAGAGAGACATCTTTAACTTCATAAGCTATTGCCAATACTATTGGTCCTTCACCTCTGAACTTGATGATAAGACTCTATTGGTAAGGACACCACACATTTGAGACACAGAACATGAAGAAACCAAGCCAGTACCCATCTGGGAGTTTCATCCCTGCTGGCTAGAAGGTGCTATGCATGATACTAGGGAAGAAAATAAAACACTAATGTTGCCTCCCTCTGAACAATGACCAGTCTGGCAAGTCTTGCCCTATGGTACAGTAGTGGCAAAAATACCATGGGAATAAATAACCACTCTATGATTGGAACTAAGGCCTGACCCACAAGTTGAAACCCATACTAGACACCCTTATCAGAGCTAACAACGTAGAACTAGATGGGTCATAGGCACTAAGTGATAGATAAGCAGAAAGTATGAAACTGATTTCTAATGACTCCACAAAACCTCATCAGAGAAGCTTCATTTTGTGATCAATACAGAAACCCATGACTCGTCAAGGCAGAGCAAATAAAAGGCTGAGGAATTCTCAGCCCTAACTGTGACAGCCCAGGACTCAGGAATCTTTGCATAAGAAGAAGTTGAAAAAAATTGTCAGAGTCAAAAACAGTGGATGACCATAAGAAAACCATTTTTTTTTCTGGACACAGCAGAGATGTTTCATGCATGAATTCACAGCAGTTGAGAGAGCATGCACAGAGGACCAGAACAAACTCAAGCCATACAAAATTCCAGTATGGAAAGGAGGCAGAAAATATCACTCCTATCTAAGAAGCCATTGACAATTGTTAGCTCCTAGGAGAGGGAATAAGTTCTTTTAATGATGGGTTGATCACCTTCCAATGAAGGCCACACGTTTAAGTGTATATAAGCAGCACAACTTTGACTTGAAAATAACAGTTGGGTGGGCAGAGAAAGACATGGATCTTGGAGGAGTACAGGTAGGGATGAATACACTCAAAATACATTGTACAAAATTCTCAAGGTACTAGTCAAAATGAGGGGAAAAAAACCCCTCTGGAAACACCCATACTGATATGCCCAGAAGGAATTCTTTGACATGTTTCTAAATCTATTTAAGAAAACAATGAATGAAAATTTAATTTTCTCCGAGGGAGGCTCACTGGGGAAACAAACTACTTTTAAGAATAGGCTACATGCCCAGCAGTCAATGGTCAGCATAGTATAAACTCAAAAGCATCTTTGAATGTTCCTTGTCTTATAATGTTATGTCTGGGCTTGGGATTTTTTTTTTGCTTTTATTCTTAACTTCATCTTATTTTTATTTTATATCATCTTTTCTAAATATTTTTTCTCTTTTCTTATTCTCCAGGTCCTCTGGATATATATTATGGTTTCCAGTTTAGTGTATTTATGTAATTCTTCAGTGTGTGAGTAAGTGAGTATCTTCATCTACATCTGATCCTTGTGCCATTTTTAGGATTTTTCCTTCTGTTTGTTTTGTCCTGTTCTATGTTAGAGTGGTAGACCACTCAATCAACATTGATAATACCTTACTCATTATAGTCTTTCTCCATGTATTCACATTACACTCTGAGTCAAATGCAAACTCTATGACCCAGCACATAATATTCCATAAGACAAAGCCCACACATATTCCTATGTTTCTGGCAATACTGTCTTGCTTCCTGTTCTTCATGGATTCTAAGTGTCATGAATCAGGAAATTCACTGTTCTGCTCCTCCTGCCTGGAACACTCTCAATGGATTCTAGCTGGTGTGTGGCTTTTTATTATTTCTATTTCTTCTTTGAAGGGGTCTGTAGCTGTTTACAGCAACGATTCACTATCATCTTATTCTGCCTGGTCGTCTTCATCTGTCACTAAAGGCAAGTTCTTGGTTGTGCATTTGCTTATCTGTTCATTGTCTGTCATTCCCAGTGAGAATGTGAATATCAGTGATGTGTCTCTCTACCAGACACCTTGTCTCCAGCACATAGAACACTTTGCAGCATATGGGGAGATTTCCATGACTATTTCCTGAATAAGTAAGTCAAAAGTGAATGTGGAATGGTGATTTTTTTTAGTGGTTCAAGTAAAGCAAAATATAATTAATTCCCATAGCAAACCCAACATCAACTTTTCTCCTAGTTAATAAATAGTATCTAAAATCACTGACTATTAATTTAAAATGTTATATTTATTCCAACATATTACAGGCCAATACTTCTAAGATGATTTATAGGTCACTGCAATGCGCCCCCCTTTTTTTGGTCAAGAAAGTAGAAAAATAAACAAAATGTGTGACATTTAGACCCCAAGCAGTTAAAACAACTTTTAAACATCACTGTAACAAAAACGATACTAGCCAGTGGACTGAGGGAACAGAAGGCACCCTTGAAGCAAAAGGAAGTAAATGTGATGTTATTCTGCCACTGGGGCTACAAATGATGAATGTGGACTTAACTCTGAAGCCTGGAAATTAAAAATGGATTCCTGGCATATGAGTATCTGCTGCGTATACTGCAGTTGGCAAATGCTGTATTTATCAGCGTGTGCTACTGTTCATAAAATGTGATTCCTTCCTTTGCATGCAGAGCAGCTGCTCTCGGTGGTGCTGCAACAGCTTTACTGGATCTCCACATTCATATATAACATCCCTCGCAAAATCACGTTTGCAACATGCAACAGCATGGACTGTACTCAGTACCTATCTAAGGCCTCTTTTTCATACTCTTCTATCTGTTTTTCTATATTCTGTCATAATTTGCTTTGTTTTCATTTCTGATCTTACTTGGAGGTGATTCAGAAGGAATACCAACAAACGTGACAGAAATCACAGCTAATAAAATAGAAACTAAAACCAAATTTATTGAATGCTATCTTGTCAAGGTTAGCAATAATGATTTATGTACATCTGTGTTACCATATATAGTTTCCAAAACACTTTTAATGTTCCCAAATTTCATGATTACTAACTACTCCTTGACACAGTGTCTGAAATGGTGATTTTCTTCATATATTTAGATGTTAAAACTCAGGTATTAGTCTTCTGTAAAGTAAGCCTTATGATATTTGAGTCTGTCTGTCTTTTATTGCTCTATACCCAAAGTTTTAAGTTCTTTCCCCATTTACTTTTGAAATATCCAAATGACCAGTAGCAACAGAAGTACTTCTCTTAGTTAAAAATAGAATAATATCCCAAGTGGTGGTGGCACATCCCTTTAATCCCGGCTCTCTTAGAATGTAGAGGCAGGCAGATTTCTATGAGTTTGAGGTCAGCTTAGTCTACAGTGCTAGTTCCAGGACAGCCAGAGCTACACAAAGAAATCTTGCCTCAAAATAATAATAATAATAATAATAATAATAATAATAATAATAATAATTTGCTTCAAGATCAAACATTTCTTCTCACAAATCCTAAGCCATTAACTCTTTTAGGAAATGCGTAGTTCTGGGTCCAAAGAGATGTCTCATTCAAAAACAGGGTTGGACTCACAAGAATGAGAACCTAAGTTTCATCCTCAACACGGATGCAAACACTCTTGAGCATGAATATTTGACCTTTGTCATATATATGTTCTTCAGATGTTTCCTCTGATTCCACAACTATCATTGTTGACTAATTTCTTTACTGTGTATAAAACATTCCAATGTAGCCAGCCTCACTCAGTTTTTTTGTTATGTTGCTAAAGTTCTCATTACACCTAGGTAATCATTGGCAGCACCTATCAAACAGACTTCCTACCATGTTTTCTCTTATGAATTATAGTCTCAGATTTTTAGTTGAACATGTTCATCCATTGCAATGAGTTTTGAGTTAAAACATCTACCCTTAATGAATATATTAAAACACTAAGATTCATGAGCATGTGGAGAAGCCAGAATCTTTGTACACTCTTGGTGAAATGTAAGATAGTGAGGGCAGACATTAGAGATTCTATCTGTATAGTGCTTAGAATAATTAAAATACCATGTATCTTAGTCAGTTTTCTACTATGAAAACAAATGTAACTGAGTGGGTAATTAATAAAGAACATCAACTTATTTCTCACATACCTAGAAACTGTGGGCTCCATTTTCAAGGTTCTGGCGTCTGACAAAGGACTTCTTACTGTCTCACGTGTTGCCCTGGGCCTCATCCGCAGAAGGGAGAGGAATGGGTCAGCTTGGATCATCTTCCCTTTCTTATAAAAGTACTGTGGAGGCTCCACCATAATGACATTAAACAACATGAATTACTTTACAAAATTCCTACCACCACATATTAACAACATATCAATTTGGTGACTAAGTTTCCAATACATGCATTCTGGGGCCAAACATTCAGTCCACATTGGTCTATGACACTGTAAGACCACATCAAAAATAATAAAACATGAATCTCTAGATGTCTAGGTATGATTGTGTTCTCAGTTTTATTGCAGCCTATAAATATATAGAAAGTATAAAGACAATGCCCATATGTAAATGTACATGTATATATCTAGTAAACTGTAAATTTAACTTTGAATTTGAAAGCAGGAAAACTTGCCGTTAGCCACATGGAAAAACACAAAAGACATGTTTTTCATTTCTCAGTACAGTACAGATATAGAAAGGGAAAGGTTGTATGAGTTTACCCATCTATGAACAGTAAAACACAGAGAAGCAGAGAAAGGACACATAGCCACCAGGGCCTAGCATTTGGAGAGGAGTGAAATGATTATTAAAATTGCAAAGGAGGTCAGCATGCATGATGAGTATTTCTAAATATACTGACTGTGGGTAATAATATTGTACTATATAAAGGAAACTTAAAGGGTAGGCACCAGGTGTACTCCATGTCAAAAGCATAAATGCCAAGTATGCGGGGTGGCATGCTGGGTGTTTTACTGTATCTCCAATATGGTTATTACTTCAAATTGTATACACACACACACACACACACACACACACACACACACACACACACACACACATTCACTAAGTTATATACCTTAAATGTATAAAATCAAA